GTTTTTCATTTCTCCCTTCACAGCTGTATATATATGTAAACTTCTTCAGCATTCATTTTAGAGAGAAAAAATATCATAAAGTTTTTTCCTCTCAATTGGGTCTATTTTCTTTGAAACTGCTCAAACCCATCATATGTTACACATAACCTATTTCTTGAAATGAAAAGTGTAAAAGAGATATTTGGGCAAGGTAACACAGATTAAGTACCAAATCCAGTACAAAGATGTTTACCACCTCCATATGAGATTTATAAGCTAGCTTAACTATGATGCATATGTGGAAACATAAGGATAGAGGAGTCTTCAAGTATTATGTAAGAATTGGGTAGGCACAATTGTAGTTGAAAGGGGAATCCAACATCTCATGGCAGAGAGCAACTCACAAGTTATAATCGAGTCACTCTTTTCATCTATCTTCACCTACTCTAAATGGGGGATGCTTGTTATGTATGTTTACATTGTAAATTTTTTTGGAATTTTTGTTTTTTTTTTCTTTTAAATGGATTTTTAAACTATACAATCAAGAAGCAAAATGTTTTAACACGGCAACACAAAATTTAGCTTATAGGAAACTTGGGTTGTACAAAAGGATTATGATTTTCTACTTCTCCTACTTTTATAAGATTTCTTTCTTCATTATTAAATGATGATTGACGATTTTTCTTTTTAAAAAAATTTCTTCTTATAAGATTTTTACTATCCAATTTAAATTTGGATTTTAATTTCAAACTTGAAATTGACTTGTAATCCTATTATGTCATAGTAAAACAAGAAGTCACAATCCTATTACCTAAAAATCTGTATAATGTCTATTATGTCACCTTTTTTATTTAATTTTGTTAACTAAAGATCTTTATATAGTATTTATTATAATTATCTATGTACTTCAAATTTTATAATCATACCAAATCTTAATTAGACATTTTATGTTCTCTAATTTGATGGTTATACAATATCTATATCCATATAAAGTTAAAATTCTTTTAAACACACAACATATTAATGTGAATGATTTCAAGTAATTCAATTTTTTCCTACCATGCTAATTGATTCATATTTTTCAAATTCACTATCAAGTTTAGGAATTAAACTTGATTTACCTGTGTTTTTAATATATTTTTATGTCAAACAAGCCTAATAGAAATTCAAACAAGAAACAATATAACCATAAAAAAAATTACTATAAATTTAATTCATTTTAAATGTTTAGTCTAAACCTCATAAGCATAACAGTTCGCAGTAAATTATTTCTTTGAAGAAAATATTAACCAAATTCATTAACTTGCTCAAAACTAGCGTTATTAAAGAAGAAATAAAATCAAATTTTTTCCTAACATCAGGAACATATCAGATTTGTATAAATGTTGAAATATAATTATTAAATAAAATTAATTGATTTTAATGAATAACATAAATTTATTTTCGTATTAATAATTTTAATTAAGTTTTTAAATTAACAAATTCGATATAACTTAAGCACCTAAAACAAACAATTAAAGATGGCATAGGCATTGGCAAAAAAGAGAAACAAATAAAAAGCAAACATAAATTTCTTTTAATATTTGTTTATCTTCTATGTAAATTACATAACTGATTGTTGAAATTTTGAGAAAATTTTTTAATATTAATTTTATATTATAATTAGTTTAAAATAAAAAATAATATATTTTATTAATTAAACAATAACCGCATTCCAATAATATCAAGATTTTTTATAAAACCATACAACACTCGTAGTGAAGTCTCAAACTTAATACCTTTATAAAGAATGGTGCAAGTATCGGTACTATAGATATTGGTAGTTTACACATTTATTATAGGTAATCTTCATGTAAAAATAGATAGTAAACACTAAACTGAAAAAATAATAATATAATAATTAAGCCAAACGTCAACCGGGTTGGGTGAGTATACATGCAGCAGTAGAGGAACAGAGCGCATCAAATCCGTTAACCGCCCAGGAAACAAGTTGACTAAATTAGATCCGACAATCACCCGACCGCCAAGCATGCGAGGTATTTAAAACAACACCCTGGCACTGCCACTGAACTATTAATTTAACTATAATTGATCAAATCTCACATTAAATAAGTCAACAAAAACTTATTAAATTCAACGGCCAAGATTCATCTCAAGCACTGCTTACCCTACGTCGCGAGTCAGTGAATACTCTCTCAGAAAAAAAGTCGTTGCTGCACCACAAACACAAACTTCCAAAAATCTTTAAAAGAGAATTACCTAAAACGCCCTCAACTTTTCAAAGAGACATGCAAGGGTATTGACGTCATTTTATTATGAGAGCATCCCTATAAAACCGGCACTTCGTCTGCGGGAGAAGTTTAGCTGCAAAAAACATACAGAAACGACGAGAGAGAACAGACTCAGAAACCATTCTCTTCCATGTTGGATTGATTTCAACAAAGAAATGGAAATTTGGAGAGAATAAAAATCTCTTTCTCCTTTTTATCATTTCTAAGTTTTCTCGGTTTTGTTTGTTTCGACAGAAAGAGAAAGAAAGGGAAGCTGTGGACTGATGGGATTTTGTATATGTCCGTTGGAGACGCCGGCGAGGTTACTGTGGACTACGAGTTTCTTCCGCCATAAGCTAATGATTTTCTAATTAATCGTTTTAGTGTTTGATTTTGAGAAAAACCGAAAGAAAATAAGAGATAGGTTTAATCCGGAGTTAATACTTGTTTAGCAATTTTGTCTCGAGTGACCGTCGCCGGAGAATCTATACTTCGCAGACCTGTACGCGTAGATACATAAGAACAGAGAGATAGAAAAAGAAGGAGAAGAAGAAGAAAAGGAAGGTTGTTATAGATGGATTCTGGCCGTCTTTTCTTCGATCCTTCTACTTGCCATGGAAACGTGCTCTTCCTCGGTAATCACGATTCCCTTTTCCGAGGTCTCTCTCTGCCTCTCTCTGTTTTTTTTTTCGTTTTAAATTAATGTTTGATAATTAGGTCGTGATATATTTCCAATTTTCTTTTTGAAGTTCTGGTGTTTTGCTGCTTGGAAAACTAAGCATCAAAGAAAATAGTGTGTTTTTTGTGGCTGCTTTTTGTTTTGGGAGTATTTGCTTTAATTTTTGAAATACAGAATTCTGTTTTAGTTAACAAACTTCGTTTGCTCTGCAAATACGGTTTCAGTAGAAATTCAAATATCTGAATTTTGTGCTTGATATTTTCTCGTTATTTCCTCGCGAAGAAAAACAACAGTTTCCCAAGTAATAGTGCTAGTTTCCTGTTTTTAGTAATTTCTCACACAAACTTCAAGTTGAAGCATTTAATTCATTTATTAAAAAAGAGTTTCCAGATAAACTGTCTTGCTGATTGTTATATACACTAAGAACTTCCTGATTTGCATTCATTCTGTGGTGTGAAGGTGGGAGATCCGTTATAAACATGGAGGAAGCCTCAAGGAGGAGACCTTTCTTCAGCTCGCCGGAAGACATGTTCGACGAGGAATACTACGACGAGCAGCTGCCGGAGAAGAAGCGCCGCCTCACCCCTGAGCAGGTCAGTAATCAAATTCTACTCACCCTTTGACAACCCTGCGCCAAACATCTTCATTTCCAAGTTCCAACTAAAGTCCCCATGTGCTTTGATTTGATTCATGTGCTCTCATCTTCCACCACCTTTGTGTTAAGATTTCAAGATGTTTACATGTTCTTTAGTACTCTCATTTTTTTACGGTACAAGCAGTTTATCAGGGATTTGCCCGATAAATTTAGACTAACAAACTCAAAAAATTAGCATGTTTAAATGCCTTCGATATACAGGGCCGTTTTGATTGTTTATTTTGTTTTTAGTTTTTGAAGACTACCATTGTTAGTCCCAAATAAGCTTTTTAAATTACAAAAAGTACTTTTAACAATATAACTCTTTTTAATAAAGTGTTCCATCTCACCACTCCGTTTTACAAAAGTTGGAATGATATTTGTATTTTTTTTTTTAAAGAATGATATACTGAGTGTAAGTAAAATTATAGTTTAAAATTAAAAATTAATGGAATTTTTTTTCGGAGAGATGATTAAGTTTTATCCTTTAATCTATGAGAAAAAAGTCAGCTCGTTTTTAAAAATAAAAATCACTTGCCGTTTTAATCAGTTTTGTTGCATTCTGAACGTACTGAATTTTTTTTTCCAATCAAATTTAGTTTTAAGCTCTTCCTCCAAAACAAAAGGTCAATCCAAATTAGCATAATTATATTTCGAAAACCACCAAATGCAAAAAATGCTCTTGCCACTTTTTTTTTTTTTTTTTTTTTTAAAGCAACATGGTACAATAAAATCTTGAATCTATCTAATAATACGAGATATTGTGTTCATTAAATTATTCAGCTGGAAAGTAAATTAGTAAAAGAAAAAAAATTGCATCAGAAATACTTTAAACCCGAAATATTTTTCTTATATCCAAATTACAGCATCCTCACAATTTCTCAAAACTGTCTGATTGACTCTCCTCCTCATATGACTCTTCTTTGGGCTAACATTGCTTTACATTTTATTTTGTCAAGAACTATACTTGTTCTTTAAAGCATATAAGTAGGAGACAAAACTTTGAATTAAGTTCCACAAGCATCTCATTTCCCAATCACATCGACAACATCACTCCTGTTCAGGAATTTTAATTTATTTTTTATTCTCATATATTTCATGAGTCTAGTTTTAGTGTAATAATTATTTGTTTTCAATAGTTAAAGGGACTAAGGATGCATTGAAATCTTTTATTTGCACCGATAGAATATGAACTACTCAAATATGAAAAATTTAGAATGATTCTACTAAAAAATAGTGAATTTTAGTAAGAGGTCGTCTGATTTGAATCCTCACTTTTCATCTTGGCACTATGATACCATGTAAGAAAATACCGTAACTTTGTTGCAGGTCATAATCTAAAAAGATTTGCAAGAAAAATGAGTAACAAGAATAAGAAAAATCCAATAGAGATGTAGAAGGATTAAAAAATAAACGACAGCTCGAAGAAAAATCTAATACGGTTTCAATGTATTCTAACAGGAAAGAGTTCAAAATAACAAAACGAGGTATTTATACCCACATAAGAAAGAGGATATACATGCTCCTTGTATACACATTTGCACCTATACACAAGCATAGCACATGTGCCACCATGACGGCCCATGCAACCCATTTCTTCTTCACACGTTGGCTTGGGTGGGTAGGTGGGCCTATCAACCCAAAGTCCATTAATGAAGATAATTTGGTTTAGTCCCTTAAGCATAATACCATGGTATTCCAGTTGACCATTTTCTAAAGTGAGAAAAGCAAGAGAAAATTCTATCTCAATTAGTTCTTGAATCTTATATATCCTTTCTTGAATCTAGGTGACATGATGTTCACAGTTTTCCATTCTCTAGTTGTGTTCTTTTTTATAATTCTCTTATTGTGTTATTTTGATATTGGAAGGATTAAATTCATTACCAAAATTCAGTAACCTCTACAATTAAATTTTATTTACAGAGAACTTATATTTATCACTAATTAAGAACTAAATAGAAAGTATGTATAAATTATAATATCAAATAAGCTAGAAACTTTAAGAATCTTCAAAGAACAATTTAGCACCAAAAGAATTATAAAGAAAACAAGAAATTGTGATTTATGTGAGTTTATTTGCTAGTATCTTGGGAGCAATAGCACAATGAATTTTCTTAGTTATTGATTTGTAGTAACGGTTTGTCTATGGTAATTTTCTTTATCCATAGGGAAGTTTTAAGAGAATTTATTTGCCTATTTGAGCTAAGGCAGTAAATTTGGTGCATTGCCATTGGTAATTATGGAGATTCAAAACCTGATATGGCTCCAACCAACTTGCTGCGGTTACTTTCCTCCCTTAGATTCAAGTCTTATGCAGCTCTTTTGGGGCTCCACCAGAAAAATAATAATAATAAATAATATAAATAAATAAAAGAGAAAAGAGACTCCCGCTCTACTTGGTAGTGTGATTAGAAAAAGTTTCTTTTTAAAAAAATTTGCTTTTAATTGAAAAACATACTGTTATAAAAAGTAATTATATTGTTTTGTAAATTATTTTTGATAAAATAATGTTTAGATGCTGTCCAAAATATTTATATTGTATAACAAAGAACAAAAAATACTGTGGAAATAAAATTAATTAATTCAATCGTATTTAAAAAAAAAAAAATTTATGCTTTGAGAAGTTGAATATATTTATATATTTTATATTAAAAAAGATTATATACACTTAGTAAGAAATTAAAACTAGTTAACTATTTTTATTTAACTTTCTCTAAAGAAAAATTTTCAATAGTTTTAATGAGTTATACTATAGCAGTCAAATTTGTGTTTTGAATTAAAAATTTTGGAAAATCGATTAAAAAGTCTATGGCTAAAAGTAAATTATCTAAAGAAAGTTTGATTGTGCTTTGAAAAGCAAAAAACTCCAAAAAGTTTAGCCGAAGAGTGCCTGAATCAGAATACAAGAGATCTGGATTTTGTTCTCTTTTCTTTTGTTTGTAGAGATATGAGTGAATAGATAAAAGGATACCTAACTTTCGTATTATAATTTGATGAAAAAGGTGTACTTCGATATTTATTTTGACTTTCTATGCCTGCAAATATGTTTTCAGGTGCATCTACTGGAGAAGAGCTTTGCGGCAGAGAACAAACTGGAGCCGGAACGAAAGACCCAGCTGGCTAAGAAGCTTGGGCTGCAGCCAAGACAGGTAGCTGTGTGGTTCCAGAACCGTCGGGCTCGCTGGAAAACTAAGCAGCTCGAAAGGGACTATGATCTTCTCAAATCTTCTTACGATTCTCTTCTTTCAAATTATGACTCTGTTGTTAAAGAGAACGAGAAGCTGAAATCTGAGGTACTTTATTTTTCACATTGACTGCAGCTCTGACTTTTAAATCATAATGTTTTTATGTAGACTAAGTGGTGGTCATAATCAAAGATAAAACATATTGCAAAGTAAATTTTTTTAATTAGCATATAAAAAGTGATGAGAAATAAATCTTTAAATCATGCACAATCATAATAAAATAAAACAAAAAAAAAAAAAACAACACAAAATTTAAAAGAAAATATCTATATTTACAAGTAAGACTAATAAAAAAATATTTGATTATAATTAAAAAAAGTATATCATTTATATAAATTAGCAAATCTATTTATAAAGAGATTATTAGGGTTTTTTTTTTTCTTACACAAGTCTCCAGAATATATCTAAATTAATCCATAGGATCATTATATAAATATCTTCACGATCAAATATAATATTCTCAGAATTTAAACCACATCAACAAAAAACATCACGTTGATCTTTATGTGGTTATGTATTAGAATAAATATATATAGTTGTTGGGTGATATTGTTTTCTTTTCTGAGTTATTGATCAAGAACTCTTAAGTGAATATTCTTTTGGACACACGGTATGGTCGGAAGCTGTTTCTTGTGGGTCATAAATAGCTAGATACAAGCTTTAACTTTATTGTTAAAAAAAAAAACATGTGGTTTCAGATATGGCATCTATTCTAAACTTAATGCTGATCTGAAACAAGCTTTAAAGTCATGCAAAAGAGAGAATATACCGTATGTAGCTTTCTCAAAATATGCTGTAAGACTTTTCTTCTTTCCTAGCCAGTGCTAAATTCTCCCAAAAATCCTTAGATGTTTACGTGACAAGACTTTCCACTATAGGTTCTTTCCTTGACTGTGAAACTTGAAGCTAAAGAAGTGAGCACAGAACCGGTGTTGGGTCAGATATCTAACCCGTCCGCAGCTGAAATGGTCCATGTTTCTGCCGTTCAACTCAGTGTGAAGGTTGAGGACCGTCTAAGTTCAGGCAGTGGTGAGAGTGTTGTTATGGATGAGGAAGGACCTCAGCTACTGGACAGTGGCGATTCTTACTTTCCAAGCAATGAGTACTCTGCATGCGTAGGCACCGTTTCGAAGGAGGATGATGGTAGTGATGATGGCCGGAGTTACTTCTCACATGTGTTTGTCGATGCAGACCAGCAGCAGCACGAGGAGCACTTGGGCTTTTGGGTGTGGCAATAAGTGGTTATTCAAATCTTCAAGCTACTTTATTGTTTATCTTTTGCCTCTACTGTCATATGCATTGTAATGGATAAGTAGGTACTCAAAAGGACTTATGGGTTAAAAAGAGAGGATAAAAATAATATGAAGATGTTATATGGACACCCATATAGATATATATATATATATATCTATATCTATATATATATATATATTAAAAAGGGGAAAAATAAAGAAGTGGGATCGGTGAGGCTCCGGAATGTGGGGCTAACTTTATGAATAAAATAGTACTTTGAGAAGTAAACTAACTGACTACTCGGCAGATGTTCTGATTATCAGTAGGTCTTGGAGTTTGGGTTCACAATCTGCAAGAATATAAATGAAGAACATCCTTCTATTGTTCGTTTCCCTGTCATGTTTTCCATTAGCTGAGCAGCAGAGAAATGTTTCCATGAGATTTAAAAAGACATTAAGAAACGATGAGTATTTGAAACTCTCCTCACATTCTACGCGAAAACAAAGGAACAGATCAATCAATTCAAATGTGTTGGTCTAACCTGGTTGATGAAGCAAGGGTGTAATTTGGTTACATCTTGAGCATCTTGGAACTAGAGGCTTCGAAATACTTCTAAAAAGGTTGATAGAATGAAGAGAATATAGTTGTACTAGATTTTATCAATTTGGCGATGTCATTTATGACAGATAATAGAAAAAAGGTGCTGGAGGAATAGACATTAAAAGTTTCTCATTTGTAAAAAGTTTGGAAGATTTGGCTCCAAGTGTTGGTAACAGAAAAAAATCAAATTTATTTTATGAAATGTTATTTAAAATGACTAAGATAATACTAAATAAATTACAATTCCAAAACATTTAATTCAAAGATACAATATTGATAGAACTTAATTCTTTAAATTCGAAAAATTAAAATTATTTTAGGTTCATGGGTTCCTCCCTCAACAAAATGCCAATAAAGTTGAACCAAAAAATTCATATTCAAGATAAATTTACGAGGAAGTAGGATTTCTTTAGTATTTATTCCAACATTAGAAATTAGTTAATTGATAAAAATACGTGCACTTGATGTCCCGCCCTAGAAATGGACCAAAGTCCTAATATCTTTGCTAGGTGGTGATTCAAACATAGATTATACATCTTACAGCCAAATCAATTTTGGAGCCGCTTTGTGATAATGGAACCAACATGCAAAAAGCATTCAAAAATCAATGCACCAACTGCGATATTTATTTTGTAAATGGCACATTGGTTCATCAATTCAAAAAACTATCATCACCGTTATAAATATGAAAATTTCTTTAATTATAATTAATGCCGTTATGAAAAAGTTTTCTTTTATATTATAATATTTTAAACTGTTTATTTAAGAACTAGTCATCAATAACTATATATTTATAAATATATTGATCAATGAAAACTAAACGATAAGAAGTAAACTATAGCTAGTAAACAGATCAAGTTATCCTACGTAATTTTGATCTTTTGATTACGAACAAACTGTTATCCCCTAGTTGAATCCGAAGAAGTATAACTCAAAACTAAAGTTAGTAAGGAAAAAAAATTATGCCAACTTAAAGAAGTAAATATGAGTATGAGACAATAGTCTAGCTTCATAATATATGGAGCCAGAGTACATTAATTAGTGATATTTTGCATGATTATGGCATGGGCATATAATTGGAAGTAATGGTATGTGTGGATAATTCTAGCAAGCAAATTGATCAATAGGAATGACCACATCTTTACGAGAATGGTTAACTACCCTCGGAGAAAACTTGGTTGACTTAGTTTCTTTGTGTTTCTTGTCAATGCCAAGTGTATTATATCCTGCCACAAATGTATGTCACATGCTTTATATGTTGCCATATGTCTTGGTACATGTGGTTTATTTATATATATATATATATATATATATATATATATACAGGAGAATGGTTTATGGAAGTATTTAGAAATATTTTTAATCAGTT